ATTCCCCCCCCCCCCCAACCCTGGCATTTAGCTTGATATTTTCTCCACCAATTTTGTTCATTTATGCATACAGTTTGGCTAATATATCCAACTTTTTGCCACTGAAAGCATGTTTCAGACCTACCCACCCCATTGTGCATTTTAGACAGGGCCTATGAGGCCATGTTCAACTGATTCATCAGTTGGGGGCCTGGAAATTTCCGATGCTCCCTCCCTCAAAAAAACAACAACATTCACAGCCCCCTTCCATTGCATTTTTTACAAAGGTTAGCAAGCATGTAATTCTTCAGGTATTTGCTTGGCTTTTTATTGTGACCTGTTTACTTTTCTTATGAAACAAACAGATTATTTCACCCTGTGAAATGGAGTGTATTCATTTAGACTTCTGAATTCCGGTTGTTGCTCATGGCTCACATTGACATTACTGTATAATCAAGAAGACCACCATTTCCTCAATTTTGTGTTGAGCCACCCACCCACCCAGGGCCGTAAAGCGTTCTTGTTCCACCTTTAAAAATTTCTCTTGGAGGCCCAGATTTTATCCATTCGTATTCTAAACTGTACACAGTGTTCTGTGTGTCTCCTTTATTTCTCAAAAGTGTCCTGCAAGTCTCAAAAGTCTACAAATGCTCAAGGCATGGGGTGCATTTTGTGGTGAGAGAAAGGACTGGGCACCATTTCATGAGTGGAAAGATGGCCATGACTTCAATTAATTATTGTTGTTTTTGTTGGTTTATATAGCACCATAAAGTTTACATGACACTTTACAGACATCATCAATTCAACATTAAAGCCTGCCAGTGGTGTACAATCTAAAAATCATAAAATAAAAACTATACAATAATTAAGCATATTATGCAATTAAAATACAAAACGGTAAAAACAGGTAATACATATGACAAATCTAAGTTATAAAACAATATTAGAATTAAGTTTCAAATGCTTCTGAGAGCAAGAAAGTCTTTAATTTGGATTTAAAGCTAGCAAGAGAAGAGATAATCTGCAGATGTTTAGGGAGGCAGTTCCAGGACTATGGTGCAGTAAAGGACAAACCCAAGCCAAGGAAGAAGAAACCCTTGGCTGGGTAAGATGCCCTGACTTCCTGGACCACAAATCTCAAATAGGATGATAAGATGAAATATGAGCTGACAGATAAGGGTGGGGACTAGGTTGTGTAAAACTTTAAGAAATAGCAGGATCATAAATCAATCATAAATGAGTCATAAATCAATAATAATTGTGCCATAAATCCATCATAAATCAATTACTCTCAAAGCAAATGCTCAAAGCAAGGTGTCCATTTTCTCAAAAGTGTCAAGGGGTGTAAAAATCCTACTTTCATCAATACTGTCAAGTCCAGCAGGACATCTGCCCATTGCTACCCCAAGGAGGTCTGAGATCAGATGGAAGGCTTATATGCTTAACCCCTCAGAGCCAAGCCCTGCCTATAAAGATGGAGCGGACAACTATCAGGGTTCAGGGTGCCTACCCCTCTCCCTTCCTTGATATTCTGCTCTGTGTTCCCTGCTAGATTCCCTGAGGGGAAAAATATTTTCCCTCCCTAAATGCCCACTTTATGGGGGATAGAGAACAATTTTACAATATTTCCCCCCCCCCCG